TCTTTCCCCCTAACGTAGACCAGACCCCAGCTCTCGTCGTCATCGGCTGCTGTCCCTGCGTTGAAAACTTCTCGCTCTCCCGCTCGTGCACGTACGCACGCACGCTCCCCGTCAGCCAGGTCAAGATGGCGTGCGATGAGTCCGGGGAAATGAGCTCCCGGTCCCTGTCCAGCTGCGAAAGAGTGTAGACTAGTCATGCTCCTGCCGGAGGAATGTGTGGAGCCATTTCCTTTCGTCCACAATGGAGGCCCCACGCGTGCGTGCAACGAAATTTTGACCAAATTTTGTGTTTTCATCCTTTCCTGAAAGTCAAGAAGTCAGATCTGACCTTGGTTTGAAAACTTCAGGATCTGACATTTTTCCTACCGCCGAGGTCGATGGCGGTAGGGCATACCAGCCTACCGACAAGGCTCCTGGCGGTAGGCAACTCATCCACGTCAGCGCGGCGCAGCCCTACCGCCAAATAGGTTGGCGGTACCTTGTGCAACCCTACCGCCGAGGTGCACGGCGGTAGGCGGGTACAAGCAATGTATTTGATACTTGGAATTTTTTTGCAGTAGGCCATAATGAGAACATCAAGAGAGAGTTCTGGGAAGGCCTGAAGGACATGGTTAGGAGTGTACCAATTAACGAGAAGCTCTTCACAGGAGGAGACCTTAATGGCCACGTGGGTACATCTAACACAAAATTTGAGGGCATGCATGGAGGCTTTGGCTATGGCATCGGGAGTCAAGAAGGAGAAAAAAATCTTAAGCTTTGCTCTAGCCTACGACATGATCGTAGCAAACACCCTTTTTAAAAAGAGAGAATCACATCTGGTGTTTTTTAGTAGTGGTCAACACTCTAGCCAGATTGATTTCATCCTCTCGGGAAGAGAAGATACGCGTGCGTACCTAGATTGTAAGGTGATACCTAGAGAGAGTGTTGTCCCTCGGCATAAGCTAGTGGTTTTTGCCTTCCGCTTTTAGATTCGTGTCCAGCGGGATAAGCGTGCCAAAGTTGCTAGAACGAAGTGGTGGAATCTCACGGTGGAGGTAGCTCAGGCGTTCAAGGAGAGGTTCATTAAGGAGGACCCTTTGGAGGAAGGAGGGGATGCGAACAATGTGTGGATGAAGATGATGACCTGCATTCGTAAGGTGGCCTCAGAGAAGTTTGGAGTATCCAGGGGAAGTAGAAGCGAAGTTAAGGATACCTGATGGTGGAATGATGATTTCCAGAAGGCGATTAAAGAGAAGAAAGATTATTTCAGACGCCTACACCTGGATAGGCGTGCAGACAACATAAAGAAGTACAAGATGACGAAGAAGGCCGCAAAGTGAATTGTCAGTGAAGCAAGGGGCCGGTCGTATAAGGGCCTCTACCAGCGGTTAGGTACGAAGAAAGGCGAAAGAGACATCTATAAGATGACCAAGATTTGAGAGAAAAGACGAGGGATATTGGAAATCAAATGCATCAGGGATGAAGCAGACCAATTCCTGGTGAAGGACGAGGAGATTAAGCATAGACGTCGGGAGTACTTCGACAAGCTGTTCAATGGGGAGAATGAGAGTTCTACCATTGAACTGGACAACTCCTTTGATGAGACCAGTAGGCGTTTTCTGCGGCGAATCCAGGAGTCTGAGGTTGAGAAGGCTTTAAAAAGGATAAAAGAAGGCAAAGTGACGGGCCCTGATTGTATCCCCGTTGAGGTGTGGAAATGCCTTGGGGACATAGCGATAGTATGGCTAACCAAGCTTTTCAACCACATCTTTCGAGCAAATAAGATGCCAGAAGAATGAAGACGGAGTATATTAGTACCAATCTTCAAGAACAGGGAGAATGTTTAGAGTTGTACTAATTACCGTGAAATTAAGTCGATGAGCCATAAAATGAAGCTATGGGAGAGAGGCATTGAGCATCGTTTAAGAAGAATGACAAGCGTGACCAAAAAACAGTTTAGTTTTATGCCTGGGTGGTCGACCATGGAAGCCATTTTCTTGATACGACAACTTATGGAGAGATACAGGGAGCAAAGAACTTATATATGATGTTCATTGACTTGGAGAAGGCGTATGATAAAATACGGCGGAATGTCATGTGATGGGCTTTGGAGAAACTTAAAGTCCCAGCAAAGTACATTACCCTCATTAAGGACATGTATGATAATGTTGTGACAAGTGTTAGAACAAGTAATGTTGACACTAATGACTTCCCGATTAAGATATGACTGCATCAGGGGTCAGCTTTCAGCCCTTATCTTTTTGCCTCAGTGATGGATGATGTCACAAGGGATATACAAGGAGATATCCCATGATGTATGCTCTTTGCTGATGATGTGGTGCTAGTTGACGATAGTCGGACGGGGTCAATAGAAAGTTAGAGTTATGGAGACAAACTATGGAATCGAAATGTTTTAGGCTTAGTAGAACTAAAACCGAGTATACGAGGTGCGGTTTCAGTACTGCTAGGCACGAGGAGGAGGGGGTTAGCCTTGAGGGGCAGGTGATACCTCAGAAGGACACCTTTCGATATTTGGTGTCAATGTTGCAGAAAGATGGGGGTATTGATGAACATGTGAACTATTGCATCAAAGTCGGATGGATAAATTAAAGCCAAGGTTCTTGCATTCTCTCTGACAAGACAGTGCCACAAAAGTTAAAAGGCAAGTTCTATACGACGTCGGTTCGACCCACAATATTGTATGACGCTGAGTGTTGGCCGACTAAAAGGCAGTTAGGTGTGGTGGAGATGCGCATATTGAGATGGATGCGTAGCCATATGAGGAAGGACCAAGTCTGGAATGATGATACACGAGATAGAGTTGGGGTAGCACCAATTGAAGAGAAGTTTGTCCAACATCGTCTGTGATGGATTGGGCATATTCAGCGCAGGCCTTCAGAAGCTCCAGTGCATAGCGAACGGGTAAAGCATGCAGATAATGTCAAGTGAGGTCGGGATAGACTGAATTTGACATCGGAGGAGTCCATAAAGAGAGATCTGAAGGATTCAAGTATCACCAAAGAACTAGCTATGGACAGGAGTGTGTGGAAACTTGATGTCCATGTGCCAGAATCATGAGTTGGCCATGAGATCGTATCGGTTTCACCTCTAGCCTCCCCCAACTTGTTTGGGACTAAAGGGTTTGTTATTGTTATTTGTAATGCGTGCGACCCTACCGCCAAGGGCCTCAGCGGTAGGAAGTTATACCCTACCGTCATCGACCCGACGATAGAAAAAGGGTCAACAGTTCGGCGTGGCGGAGATGCGTATGTTCAAATGGGTGTGTGGCCACATGAGAAAGGACTGAGTCCGAATGATGATATACGAGATAGAGTTGGGGTAGCACCAATTAAAGAGAAGCTTGTCCCCCACCGTCTGAGATGGTTTGGCATATTCAGCGCAGGCCTCGAGAAGCCCCAGTGCATAGCGGATGGCTAAAGCGCATGGATAATGTCAAGAGAGGTCGGGGTAGGCCAAATTTGATATAGCAGGAGTCCGTAAAAAGAGATCAAAAGGATTGAAGTAACACCAAAGAACCACCTGTGGACAGGGGTGTGTGGAAACTTGCTATCCATGTGCCAGAATCATGAGTTGGTCGCGAGATCGTATGAGTTTCACCTCTAACCCACCAACGTGTTTGGGACTAAAAGCTTTGTTGTTGTTGTTGTTGTTGTTGTTGTTGTTGTTGTTGTTGTTGTTGTTGTTGTTGTTGTTGTTGTTGTTGCAGGGTGTACGACCCTATCGCCAAGGGTCTCAGCGGTAGGCAGTTATACCATACCGTCATCGACCCTAACAATAGGAAAAAGGTCAGATCTTTAAAAAAATTGAACCAAGGTCACATCTCGCTCAACTTTCATAAAAAGGTCAAAACACCAAATTTTTCTGGAATTTTTGCCTCTCGGCCATCTGATTTTTTCAGTTAACCTGTTTACGAGAAATTATACTAGCAATGCTACCAATTTGTGTGAAAGTGGACAGATTTTATCCTTTTTAAAAACTTCAACACAAAATGAATTCAATATTAAAATATTTCACAAAAATCATTTTTCATGACGTCTGGGACTGAGGCTCGACCTAGATATAACACGACGGCCTAGCCCAGGGCGTCATGCTAATCTAGCAGGGCGCCCTAGTCAGGGCATCGTGCAAAGGCTACGTCTGTCGAAAAAAATCAGATCCAAAATACTCCCTTCATATCTAAATATAAGTTCTTTTAGAGATTTCAATAAGAAACTACATACGGAGCAAAGTGGGTGAATCTATCCTCTAAAGCATGTCTATATATATATTTGTATGTAGTTTGTATTGAAATCTATAGAATGTCTTATATTTAGAAATCGGATGGAGTAGTATTTTGTATTGTAAGTTTCGAAGAAGGGCCAAATATGTTCATTTTTACCTAATTTACTACCATTCCAGAACATTCTTCCACTGCCCTACTGCATGGGTTTCAGTGTCAGCAGTTGTAGGAGTAGCAATAACAACGGTACTACTAGTAGATCCAATCAAGGGAAGGCTGCGGCTGTACTGTCGGGGCCTAAATTTCCTGCCACTTGCCAGGATGCATATGGTTTCAGAAAGGAAAAATCCTCAGCTGATGTAGAATCCTTCCTAAATTTGTACGCTCAGCGGGGGATTTGATGAAGCCTTTCTAAATTTGCACTACTAGTATATGCAACGAAAAGCCGAGCGGCCGAACGGCCTGACCAACGCGGGGAAAGAGAAGGAGCAAAGGGACCCAAATTTTGCACCCGGAACGCCTAACTCATCAACAAATTTAATTGGCAGAAGAAAGGAAGATCCACAGCTCCGCAAACTTGGAAGATGGAATCTAGCTATACATAACAAGAATCTAATCTCCTAGCCCTTTTCGGGGCGGTTACTTTACTCATTTCGCCCTATGTACACGGCTGGGGCCAGGCAGCTCGCCGGCGTCCGGACGCGGAGACCAATTCAGTCCTGTAAAATTGCGCATTCGGGGCGGCGGCGGCCGGATGCCTGGACCGAATCGGGGGCTCGGCTCACTGGTAGCCGCCCAGGCCGGTGAGCAGCAGCTCGTGCGGCCGCAGCAGCGTCGGGGTGGCCGGCGCCGAGGCGGCGCCCAGGTAGAAGAAGTCGAAGTCGGAGGCGTCGGGCACGCCGGCGGCGGCGGCCCAGAGCGCGCCGGCCATCTCGTCGGGGATGAGCGGCGCGCGGCAGAGCGGGCAGGTGCGCTGGTCGTGCTCCATCCAGCGGTCCAGGCAGCCCCGGTGGAAGGCGTGGCGGCAGTTGCTGAGCCGCCGCACCTCGTCGCCGCCGCCGATGCCGCTGAGGCACACGGCGCAGTCCCCGTCGACGCACGCCGCGGCCTCCAGCTCGTCGAACCGCACCACGGGGAGCACCTCCTCGATGACCATGGCCGTGACGGGCCGGAACTCGGGCCGCCGGTGCTGCAGCAGCTGCGCCGCCGCGGCGGCGTGGTCGGCGCGCGCGTGGTCCTGCGGCAGGTGCTCGTCCCCGAGATCCAGCAGGTCGCCGAGGCCGACGGCGTCGAAGGCCCAGAGGAGGAAGCGGCGGAGGTAACCGAGCAGGAGGAGGAGGTGGAGCAGCTGCTTGGGGAGCAGAAGCTCGGAGTAGCCGACCGGGAAGCCCATGCCTGTCGCTTGCCTGTCCTTGCCCAGGAGAAGCGTCCGCGCCGCCTGCTGACCGCTGCGGCCTCGGCAGGGAGGATGAGAGGCAAGTGTGAGGACGACGGTGTGCTGGTGGTGGTGGCAGGCGTGGGGAGGCCGAGACGGGGCGAGGCCGGCTTATATAAAAGCGAAGGAGCGGGGCGGGGAAGGATCCGGCTGGGTGGGGGTGGCAGCGCTAGCGGCTAGCGTGCGTCCGGTTGGGGTTGGGTGGCGCGGCGTCGCCGGTGTGTCGTGCGCGCGACCCGGACCCGATGACCGACTCCCAGTCCCGGCCAGCCCCGCGAGTCGGTGTGACTGACTGGCCCGCCCGCCCGCCCGCCCGCCGCCGGGCCGGGTGTCACCGCGCGTGGCCCGTCTGACGCGCGGGTGGTCCGCCCGCCTCCTGATCCCCCAACTGGTGTGCCCTCAACGGTCGGTGCACTGCACGTTGGCAACGGAAACGGGCGCGCGTACGGGTGCGTGCACCGTTCGTCCCAACCCCGGTGCATGTACCCGTACCCTAGATGCACACGTTGATCCTTAAGTGCTCTTTCCGCCTAGATGCATAGAGTGCATAGTAGAATGCATGATGTTAATATTAGGCAGTTAAAAAATTAGGCAATGTATACCAGTTGCACACAGATATTTTGGATAGATTCTCAAAAATCACAGGCATTGATATTTTGAATGATATTAACTGGCATTCTCAAAAAATCGCTGGCATTTAAAAAATATTAGGCAGTATATTAGTTGCACACAGATATTAGGTGGGATGTTATTTATGCGCTATAAATCTATACTTAGTGCTGGCATTGATAGATTCTCAAAAAAAATTCGTTGGCATTGATTTTTTTAAATATAATATTAACCGCATGCTAAACATACTAAGCGCTCACCGTGTGGACAACATGAATCTTTGGATTGACCTAATTGGCTAATTTGGTGGGCAAGATGGCCCCAGAATTTAACGCTTTCTCAGCTTCTCCCAGAATCTTTGAGCCCCATTCTTTTTACAATACTAACTAATTAGACTCTAACTAGATAGGATTGTAAAACAAATGAGGCTCGAAGATTCTAGAAGAAGCTGGGGAGGGCTTCGATTCTGGAAGAATCTTGCAAAAGAACTGGGCCTAACTGTATAGAGAAAATAACACTCCCACCGATTCCATACTAACTGATGCAGCAAAGTTGTATGAAAGCCGCGTCAATTAATATGGATTGAAGTGAGTATTATTTTGTTTTACGAAAATTCAAAACTACAGTACCGATTTAGTAAACTTTAAATCTGACCAAGTCGTCTCTACTAGGCCGAAGAGTGACTCTTCATCTTTGCGTGGGCTGAAGAAGCCCTTTTTGTCTTCTTTGTGTTGAAGATCACTATTCATTCTCAGCAAGGCCGAAGAGTGAGCCTTCCTCCCCATGAAGGCCCAAGGGCGGGTTTTGTTCCGTGTAACTCGCAAAGAGTGGACATGCACCCTGTTCTATAAACCACAGGTCCTCCCAGTCAAATCTTCATGTCACCAGGATCGCATAGACGAGTAGAATCCTTTCATATGAAGAACGACTTAAACTGTGCATTGTAGAGGGCGAATTTCGCATCTCAATCAACACTGGCCACCGCAAGACTACATCACGCCAGCGAGAGATTTTCCAAATAATTGCATACATGTACTCTTTTAGATGCCACCAACATCCTAGACATTACCCCTCTATTTCGGAATTGACAACAGCTGGTTCACGTCCGCGGATGGCAAGGGTCATGGTTCACTCTGTGCATTTTAAAACCGAACCGAAAAACCATACCGAAAATAAACCGAACCGAACCGAATTCACGATTTTTATGGTTTCTGGTTTCGATATGGTATGAACTTTTCATACCGTTTTGAATTTCGGTTTTTATGGTATATACCGAAAAACCGAATGGTTAACCGAATAAACCAAAATAAAAAAATATATATTTCTTGAGGCAAACAACGATACAAGTAGTCATTTTTCTTGTATAAGAATAAAATTTCCTGCAAAGACCTTCCATTTTTTCTTGTAACGTAGTAATTTTTCTCTTGCAAAAATGCTAACCACGTCGTCCATAACCTTTCAAGGCTTGAATTGATGCATATATACTTATATAAAGTTATATACCATTTGTATTTAAAAATTATGTGTTTGAATTTATAAGTTTGTAAAATATAGTATGTCATTTTCAAATTCGCGTCAACTTTGGTTATTATGGTATATACCGAAACCATACCGAAATAATTTGGTATATACCGAAACGAACCGTATTTTAATATCATACCATATAAACCGAAGTATTAATACTGTACAAACTGAAAACCGTATAAACCGAACCATGCAAACCGAATAAACCGAACGCACAGAGTGAGTCATGATCTGCTGGGACAGTGACAAGAATAGGATGACGTGCAATGTCTATGAGGTGGGCAACATATAGATGCGTAGATGTGTGAGAGTAACTAGGATATTTCTCACTGAGCGCCGCATAGTCTTGCGACGGTCGGTATAGACTAATCGGCAAAATTCATTCTCCACCATGTACAGTTCAAACTATTTTTTGGCTGAATGGATTTTTATCATCAATACAGTCCAATTTGCGTGACCATTCGGCAAGGAAAGCTCCATATCAAATGGGTGTGATTTTTTGCGTGTGGCAGTGTACTTCGTCCATTGTAGGAACGAAGAGCGATCTTCAGCCCATGCATGGACGAAAAGGGCCTCTTCGGCCCATGCAAAGACGAAGAGCTACTCTTCAGCCCAGCAGAAACGGGGGAATAAATTTGAAATTTAATAAATCGGTATCACATTTTCAAGATTCCGTACAAAGAATTTAAAGAAAAATATATTCAGGTCCTTTTATGTTGTCATAAATTTGATATAGATTAATCATTGTTGTAATTAATGATTTTTAACTCAAATATTCCTTGGTTCGCTCATGCATGTAATCTTGTTAAACTTCTCAACTCCTCTTCGCACGCATGGATATCAAAATATTATCCTTAAGCATCCAATATTACTTTCGGTTGCATTTTTAGGGCACATGATAAGGTTGTAATATATCTCTTCGGTGTATCGCTATGAAATTGTATACTCATGGCATGCAGGGAGTAGAGCTACAATAAACGCTCCAGGGTCGTGAGCCACTCAAGATTTACTCGTCTTTTGACTCGCCTCCAGATCAAATTGAAAAGAAACGAGTCAAGTATGAGCACTTTATCTAGCTCGATCATGAAACTAGGTGATCTTGAGCCAAAACTAGCTCGCTCAATTTTAGCTCGATATAAGGGCATCTCCAACGCTGATATGTAAATTTCTCTGGTATATGTCCGTTTTTATGTTCGGACGTGGTTCGGAGACATGATACGGGAGAGAGCAATCCAACGCTAATCGCAAAGTATCCGGCCGGAAATAGAAAAAGTAGGTGGGGTCCATGCATGTGATGGAATATTTGTGGGTTGAGAGGAGAGACAGAAGAGGGAGACCATGCATGTGCGGATGGGAGAAGAGAGAGAAGAGAGAGACTATGCATGTGATTGGTCAATTGCAAGTACGGACTCCGTCAAAGCTCCCCTACTATTGTTTCCAAAATACCAGAATTTGGACGTCCGGACAGCTTCACGGACTGATATAGGTCCCCTTGGATTGCAAAAGGGAACAAATGTGTTCGGGCGAATATATACCGGTGTTTTACAGGTCTCCCTTGGAGATGCCCTAACATAATTATACGAAATAATCCTTGTATAACCACCTCCTCTCCAAGAAAAATGTTGAGAGTTCCTCTGACTCTCACCGATGTTGGTATTGGTCCGCCTCATCTCTTGTGGCCCTAGGGCTATGAAGACGTGGTGGACCACATCTCTGCAGACGGGGGATCTTGCTCTGTTGTTAGGTATTTTTGTGAGTTCGTTTATGGTTTGTATCTTGCTCAGAAAGATGAGGCGGTGTTGGCTTCCTGAATATGGATTAGGGTTCTTTTCGCCTAGTCCCCGTTTCGACGGTCCATCTAGAGTCGTCGGAGGGCATGCGGAGGTGTTTCTCTGACGAATCTCGTGGGATTCGATTGGTGTTGATCTTCGATGGTTCTGCTTGGATCCATCCTTTGTTCATTTTTGTTCGTCTCTCAACAGTTTGGATTCTTTCAATATGTACTTTTCTTCAACGGCGATGGTTGTTGTTTTGGTTGCTCGTCCTGTGGGCCTTAACACAACGACTTCACAACTTTCTACTACAACAAGTTTGACCCGACTCTGGTGAGGGAGGGGTGATGACGACAACGCGAATTCGGCTCGCTCTAGTGCTTGTAGTCATCACTAGGTGTTCTACAGACATGATTTTTTAAAATATATTTTTATTGTTCTTTGTACTGCCATGGCAGATAATGAACATATCAAAAGTTTTATCACAGAAAAACAAAATCCTTACATATATTTAAAGGTAATAGGGTAGGAGTATCATCTACTATGCGTACGACTTTTTCATTATTGTATCTATTAACTAACATAGAAGCTTAATTAAACGTGATAAATATTCAGGTCTTAATATGATACTACGTGATCAACTGCGTGTTAGTAGGAGTATTCTGTCATTGTTTGCCAACGTTTGAGAGTGGACGCCCGGGAGTGGAGGAGTAGCAGTGAAATCCCCGGCCAAAAGAAGGCGCGGGAGCTTTTTCTACTTTGCTCGCGCGCTTTCTTGTGGAACGAGATGAGGACGAAGAGGGGCCTTGCAACTTGTGAGATGTGATGAGTCGTGCTGGCCTGTCCCGGTAAAAAGAAAAGAAAATGGATGGTTGCACGAAGGTTCTTGGATCCTTTTGCTTTCAAGTTTCATAGCCCGAAAGTGATGGCGAACGCAGGTAGTTGGGGCGGGACGATTTGTCCGTCGTGCGGAAGTCACGAGCATTGCAAGCTGCCTTCCGTCCGTGCGTGCCGCTTCATCTACTAATTTTTCTCCCTTGATATTTTCCGGCA